TCTGCTATACTTTAGAACTCTCACTTATTGAGGACTTCACCTCCTCACTGATAGTCTTCCTTTAAGTGACCCATAAGCTTCATCCTTTCAATCATTTTACCTCCACTCTGCTTCACCAACCATTTTCAATGATCCACTTTATTCTCAGCAGATGATCTCACCTCTCATTCCATTATGAAAATCTAGGTCATTGGATGCTAACACCCATTTTCCTGCCCTCACCCCACCCTGCCACATAGTTGTGTCCTTACATGTCCTAACCTCTCTCTCTCTCTCTTTTTTTTTTTTGATCTTGCAGAAATAGACATAGCTTCTCCAGTTCACAGCTAATTTCTCTACGTGTGCTTTGGAGCCCATTCTTTCTCACCTCCTTGAGGACTTACTTCATCAGTTATCCCTCCTCTCATCTGTATCTTCAACAACTCCTTCTCTGCTTACTAACTGCTTCCCATCAACCTTCAGACATGATCAACTTTCACTCCTAAAAAAGGAAACAAACAAATTTTCCTTCACCTCTATCCCCAACTGGCATTTGCCCTATTTCTCTTCTTTTATTGTTATGGAATCTTTTCTAAAGTATAGACACTCTCCATTTCCTCACCTCCTGTTAAAAACTCAGCCCCCACTATGGCTTTTCTGTTCCCAGAACACCACTGTTATTTCTCTTGTTAAGTAAACCAATGGCATCCTAATTGCCAAATCTAATGAACAATGTTAAGTCTTTATTTTGCTGGACCTCTCTCTGATGTATTTAACATAATTGATTGCTCTCACCCTACTTCTGTCCTCATGAATCTCTTGAAAGTGTCTACTCCTTGGCTTTGGTGATGTTGCACATCTTCTGGCTGTCCTCATTCCTCTCTGATTACTCCTTATGCTCTTTTGTGGACTCTTCGTCTGCCACCCCTTAAATGCCAGTCTTTCCCAGGTTTTTTCATTCCTCACCTTTCCCCTAGATCATCTCATCAATACCCATTGTTTTATCTACCATACTTTGAGCCCCAAATATGTGTCTGTAGTCCCAGACCTCTGTTGAGAGCTCCAAACCTGTATACTAGTTGATACTTGACAGGTATAATATGGCACATCCTACAGGTACCTCAAGACCAAACTCAGTATGTTCCAAATGCCTCTTTTTTACTCTAATCTGCCCTTCCTCCTCTATCTGCCCACTGACACCATGGTGACTCAGACCTCTATCTACACAGTTGACCCCTATCTACACAGTGCTGAAACTTGGTAGTCATCCTAAATTTCTCATTCAACCAGTCACCAAGACCTGTTCAGTCTATCTTCTAAGTATCTATCTGATATGTCTTTCCTTTATGTTACTACAACATATTATTAGACTAGGCTTTCCATCATCTTTTCATTTTTTAGCTATTCAAATAGCTCCTTAACTGGTCTTCCTGCCTCTTGGCCTGCTCCCCCTTAGCCTATCCTTCACATTGTGATAGAATGCATTTTCTCTAATGCAAATCAGATCACATCACTCCTCTGCTTGCAGCCCTATCATGGTTCTCACTGCTTACTGGTACAGTCCATGCTGCTCCACAAAGCTTACAAGGCCCCTCACAATCTGGCCTTGTCTACCCTTCCAATCTTATCTCCTATCATCTTTTCCTTATTTTCTTTGCCCAAATAATGTCAGACTGAATACCCCCCACTATGCCTTCATGCCTTCATACACACTGTTCTCTCTGCCTAGAATGACCCCTTGGTCTTCCAGTCAAATCTTCATTCAGCTTTCAAAATTGGACTCAGTATGTCTGGGTAGATACACAAGAAACTAGTGACAATGATTGGGTGGCTGGGGCACAGGAGTGGGAATAAGACTTACTTTTTCCACCTATTTGTACATTCTGTATTTTGTAACACAAATCTGAATTCACTATTCAAAAAAGTAAATACTATGTACATTTTTTGTTAAAAAAGCTCAGGAATCAGGTCCTTTAGAAAGTTGTTTTCCCCTCCTCATTCTCTTCTGTAGTTTTGTACTACCTTCTTTGTGCTACCTCCAGGCCTACTGTGTGCTCCTGTGATTAGAATAATTACATTGCATTGCAATTTATATGGAAGTTGTCCATCTCCTCAGATTGTGAGCTACCTGAGGGAAGGGGCTGCATCTTAGTTTTTATTGTTTCCCCAGAATTTAACATAGTGCTCTATAAATGTTTATTGAATGAATGGAGAAACAAGTGGAGAGAGGAATAAAGTAGGGGATGCCTCAAATTATAAAACAAAGCTCCCAAGTCAGTTATCTTTCCCAATATCCATCAATCTGTCCTTTTGCCATGTGTTGAGGTTAAAAATAATATTTTACATTTATACTTTTTTAAAAATTTTCTGAGACAGAGTCTCACTCTGTCACCCAGGTTGGAGTACACTGGCACAATTATGGCTCATTTCAGCCTCGATCTCCTGGGCTCTAGATCCTCCCACCTCAGCCTTCCAAGTAGCTGAGTGATTGGGTGATATTGCCAGTAAATGGTGAAGTTGAGATTTGAACCAAGGTCTTTTGACTTCAAAATTCATGCTTGATTCATAACACTACATTGATTCAAAGGGACATCTCCACTGCTTGACTACTGGGTGCCTAGCTCAAGGCAGCCCATTATCTTCGGACTGCTCTGACCATTTTAAAAGCTCTTGTTTGTAGTGAGCCAGGTTATAAATGAGCCAAACAAGACATGGCCAATAATAGGGTCTTTTGGCTCTCTACTAGAACTTTCCTTCCAGTCTGACACCAAACCATTTGTTCGCTTCTTTGGCTATAGTTGTTCAACTAGTTATAGGCTCATCTCAACAAATGCCTGAAGCATCCAGCTTATATTTTGCCATATCATCTACAAGGGAATTATGGGAAACTTTGTCCAATGCCTGGATGAAATGAAATCCACTATAGCTATCACATTCTCTGATAGCTTATCTAGTAACCAGATCAAAAAAAAAAAAAAAAAGGAAATGAAGTCTAGGAGGGATATTTGTTTTTTAACGGGGCAATTTGTCAATGACTTAAAGTAATGAGTTTCCAGTGGTATACTTTCAGACATCCTTGACAGGCTGTCAGGAAGATGATTTTTGGCCAGTGGGCTTCCTACTTTTCTTCAAATGACATCAAATAGGGACTCCCATTTTCATTGCTTTGAATTGCACAGCACTGTTGTTTACATCTAGTTTTATTTAATCTTCCATTTCAGTTTTCCGGGCTTTTATTTTTTCTTTGTGTTCTGCCCTTGCATATGTTCCCTCTGCCTGGTTCATTCCCTAAACTACAACCTGGCCCCACAACACACACATACACATACCTTACTTGTCCTTTGAGAATCAGTGCATGCAGTCCCTTCTCCAGAAGCCTTCTCTGTTGTCCCCAGACTGAGGTAACTGCTTCTCCTCCTGGGTGTTGTAGTGGCAAGCGAGCACAGTGCCTGTCACAAAGTAGATCCCCCGTAAATGTTAACTCCCTTCTCCCCTTCCTCCATGAATATCTCTAAAATAGTATTCATTACACCATATGGTATTTTCTTGTTTACTTGTCTGCCTTCATTACTCAATTATGAGCTCATTCTTTCATCCACTCATTAACAAATATTTATTGTGTGTCTATGGTGTACAAGGCATTGTTCATGTAGGTGCTGGGGACACAGTGATTTCTGAAAATTGTATTTTCACTGTGTCTTTTCACTGTTGTACTTATAGCACCTGTCACAGTGTCTGGCAAGTAGAGTGCTTAGTAAATGTTTGTTAAAGGAATGCACTTCCTCAGCAGAGTTTCTCAAAGTGTGATCCTTGGACTATTTGCATCTGGATCACTGAGGGGTGTAGGTTAAAATGTTAATTCTTGGGTCCCTCTCCAAGTCTACTGAATCAGAATATCTTAAGAGTGGGCTGTAAGAATCTGTATTTTAATCTCGTTTTGCGGTATTTCTTTCATGCTAAAATTTGGGAACCACTGCAAAACAGAATAGAAATAGGGAGACCTAATGCCTATTATTGAAAAGTGTAGCTAAAACCAACTAAATCATGTTTAATGCCTCTGAATGCTATAGCAAATTTTAGTGAAAGAGAAAAAAGAATTTTTACCTGTTGAACAAGTGGAATTATTGCTAATAAAATCTAATCTTAATTTAGGTCAAATTTATGATACCAGAGAGTTTTCTTTTTTTTTTTTTTTTTGAGACGAAGTCTCGCTCTGTCGCCCAGGCTGGAGTGCAGTGGCCAGATCTCAGCTCACTGCAAGCTCTGCCTCCCGGGTTTTTACGCCATTCTCCTGCCTCAGCCTCCCGAGTAGCCAGGACTACAGGCGCCCGCCACCTCGCCCGGCTAGTTTTTTGTATTTTTTAGTAGAGACGGGGTTTCACCGTGTTAGCCAGGATGGTCTCGAACTCCTGACCTCGTGATCCGCCCGTCTCGGCCTCCCAAAGTGCTGGGATTACAGGCTTGAGCCACCGCGCCCGGCCAGAGAGTTTTCATTTTTATAGCGTTACTTGTATATTTGATGGTATATAGGGACCCTTTGTGTAACCCAACAATACAATATATTGATTCCATGTTATAGACTTGAATTGCAAATTAAGAAAGAGTATGTCCAAACTATACTTGTGCTTTAACATTGATTATATGTGATTTATCTGATGTTTAGTTCTTAATCAGAATTGTCAGTGCTCATTCTCTGTGCAAATTTGATCCATTTAACTGTTTTATGCCATATTTTCTAAGAGCATGCTGTTATTAAAAGTGCTCTTTGGTAATAGATTAGGTATATAAGATCTAAGTCAACCAAGGACAGCACAACTTCCCTTTCAGGAAGACTTGACAAGTTGGATTTTATGACCATGTTTTGGAGACTGGAGCTGTCTATTTTTAGTGTGCCTTAACATGATCCTTATGGTCAGGAGCTGAAGTGTTCTTGTATCTGAACACAAATATGTTAAATATTCACAGATTTATACTTCTATTTCCCTCCTTTTGACATCCCTCTTTTTTTCAACTCAACTTAGGTTTTCAGTGGTGGTGTCACCGCTTCCAAACTAAACCGAAAATGGCCATCTGCATGCTGCCCAACCAGCACCATGTCCAAAGGCCTGAAAATTCTGTGTAAAGACCCTGTTTTGGAGCTGAGCTGCTGCCGGGACCATCAGTTCAGTGGCAGTAAATTTCAGCAGGAAAAATTACTGAAGGAAAGCTCCACAATGAATATGAGGAACCTTTCATTTTATACAACCGAAGAGAAAATACATGAGCTCTTTAGTAGATCTGATATCAGGAATATCTTTATGGGCCTGGATAAAATAAAGAAAACAGCATGTGGCTTCTGCTTTGTAGAATGCCATAACAGAGCTGATGCTGAAAATGCCATGCGGTTTCTAAATGGGACCTGCCTAGATGAATGGATTATCTGCACTGATTGGGATATAGGTTTTAGAGAAGGTCAACAGTATGGTCGCGGTAAATCTGGCGGTCAGGTAAGGGATGAGTTTCGTGAAGATTTTCATTCTGGTAGAGGAGGCTTTGGAAGACAGAGTCAGATCTAAAACAATCCATAGAGAAAAAGTTTTAACTCTAACCCCTTGAAAAGTGTGTTATAGACCAACCTCAAGTCTGCAAATAGCCAATTTCAAGTTTAAATTACCTTATTATTGATGTATTTTTTTCTCTGAAAATTTATTAAATGGCAGAAACAAAAAAAAAATCCATTTGCTTTTGTCTGAATTTTGAAGGTGTTTTCAGATTACCAGTTTGACTGTTAGGTGGTCTAAAGTGAAGTGTTTTTCGGGAACAAATTAGGTATGTAAGATCAGAGTCAACCAAAGCACAACTTCCCTTTTAAGAAGATTTCCATAGGATTCTATGGCCATGTTCCTGCAGCCCGAAATTATAATTTTTTTAAGAGCTTGCATAAAACACAGTTAAATAAGTGGAAATTTTAAAAAATTATCAAGAGAAACACAAGCACTGTTATTTGAAAACATAGAAAAGTCTGGAAGAATTTGTAATAAAAACAAAAATCCTCCTGCCCCACCTCTTCCTATCCTACGCCTATTCCCTGGATGATAACGCTTAATTATTTTTTATTAGTTTTTGGTTTGTTTGTTTCTTTGTAGTTTCCTCCATATCTCCAAATAACATGGCTGCTTACTTTCTTTTTAAATGCTATCTACTGACTTCCTGCTTTCAGAGATGAGGATTTAGCTCACTTACACCCCCATTTGCAGTTCTCTACTCTCCATCCTCTCAATGTAGTTCACAACACTTTACAGACAGTTCCTGAGTTACAATGGCTTGGCTTACAATGTTTTGACTTTACAATGGTATAAAAGTGATATGCATTCAGTAGAAACCATACTTCAGGTACCCATACAACTATTTCGTTTTTCACTTTCAGTATAGTATTCAACAAATTGCTTGAGATACTTAACACTTTGTTATAAAATAGGCTTTGGGTTAGGTGATTTTGCCCAAGTGTAGGCTAATGTAAAGTGTTCTGAGCACGTTTAAGGTAGGTTATGCTATGCTATATTTAAGAGGTTAGATGCATTAAATGCATTTTCAACTTAACAATATATTCAATTTACAATGAGCCTATCAGGATGTAACCCCATCATAAGTCAATGAGCATCTGTACTTACTTTCTTTATTGTTACATAGCATAACTTAGGTTATGCTGCAGTAATAAACAATCAAAAAATTTTAGTGCTTAAAATTACTAAGCTCTGTTCCTCCCACTACATTCCCATTGCTGATTACATGGTGCGGGGGTCTGCTGCATGCCATGATTGTCCTCCTTCTGGGGCCCAGGCTAATAGTATAATCACTATCTGGAAGGATGGTGACAGAGGGAAAAACAGAGTGACAAATCATGTCCTGGCTCCTCAAGTTTCCACCCAGAAATGATATCCGTCACTTTTGCTCACATTTCCATTCTCAAAACATGTTGTCAAAACTGATTCTGAGGGAGTGGAGAAGGATCTGTAGGAAGAGACCCTGAATATTAGTGATGAGTTATACAGTTTACTACAGGTCCTCCTATAACTTTAATATATACAAATATAACTCCATTTTTGTTTTGTTCCACCATATAGTACTCCCCACTTTGTAAGATGAAGATGTTAATGTCCTTTTGCCTTTTCTTCATCTTTCCTCCTCCCCCTTCTACTTTCTGGCTTTTTTCATCTACATTTGTGTTTTTACATTGTCAAAGTTGATGATAAAGTTGTCTGTGCTCTGTCTTTCTGTTAATTCCAGAAGTTTACAATTAGTAAAGAGTATTTTATTACTGTGACTATATAAATATTGTTCCCTGGCCAGGTGCAGTGGCTCATGCTTCTAATCCCAGCATTTTGGGAGACTGAGGTAGGCAGATCACTTGAGGTCAGGAGTTCAGGACCAGCCTGGGCAACATGGCGAAGCCCTGTCTTTATCAAAAATACAAAAATTGCTGGGCATGGTGGTATGTGCCAGTGGTCCCAGCTACTCAGCAGGGTGAGGTAGTAGGATAGTGATTCCTCCTGAGCCCAGGAGACGGAGGTCACCGTGAACTGAAGTTGTTCCACTGCACTCCAGCCTGGCTGGCAGAGTGAGACCCTATCTCAAAAATAAGTAAATAAATAAATAAATAAATAAATAAAGTTCCCTGCAAAGCCAGGGAGAGTCCAACAACTGTATCTTTTCTTCTGGAAATTTTATTTACCATTCTCTATTTCTTTTATTTGCCATTATTGCACCCCTTAATTTCCTTCAAACTCTGTAAAAAATTAAGCTTTCCGTGGATATTCTACTTTTTTTTTTTTCAAAGTCTCACTGTGTTGCCCAGGTTGGAGTTCAGTGGCACGATCTCAGCTCGCTGCAACCTCTCCCTCCTGGGTTCAAGCAATTCTTCTGCCTCAGCCTCCCGAGTAGCTGGGACTACAGGTGCGTGCCACCACACACGGCTAATTTTTGTATTTTTTTAGTAGAGACAGGGTTTCACCATATCGGCCAGGCTGGTCTCGAACAGTGATCCGCCAACCTCGGCCTCCCAAAGTGTTGGGATTACAGGCGTGAGCCACCGCGCCTGACAATTCTCCTACTTTCCTCTCCATGATCTGTCTGTTCTCCTATTCTGATCTGGATTTGTTACTCTCTAGACCAGGATTTCTCAATCGCAGCCCTACTGATGTTTTGGACCAGAGAATTATTTGTTGTGAAAGGCTGTGTTGTGCATTGTAGAATTCAGTATACTTGGCCTCATATACCCACTAAATATAGTAGCACACATTTGTGCACACACACACGCACACACACACTCCAACTTGTGACAACCAAAAATGTCTCCAGACATTACCAATTGTTTCTGCCAGGCCAGTGGGGAGGCAAAATCACAACTGGCTGCAAACCACTGCCCTCGGCAATAGTTCCCATCCAGAGATTTTTCTTCACTGTAGTCCTGAATTGGACTGACTATTTCATGGATCCTGTGTTTATCCCTTTTGTGGTTTATTCCTATATTAGTCCATTTTCACGCTGCTGTAAAGAACTACCTGAGACTGGGTAATTTATGAAGCAAAAAGGTATAATTGATTCACAGTTCTGTAGGCTTAACAGGAGGCATGACTGAGATTCCTCAGGAAACTTAGAATCATGGCAGGAGGGGAAGGGGAAGTAAGCACATCTTACCATTGTGGGGTAGGAGAGAGAGTGAGAGAGCAATGGGGGAAGTGCCACACACTTTTAAATCATCAGATCTCATGATAACTCACTATCACAAGAACGGCAAGGGGGAAATCCACCCCCATGATTCAGTCACCTCCAACCAGTCCCCTCCTCCAATTAGACATGAGATTTGGACAGGACACAAATTCAAACCATGTCATTTCACCCCTGTCTTCTCCCAAATCTCATGTCCTTCTCACATTGCAAAATACAATCATCCTTTCTGAATAGTCCCCCAGTCTTAACTCACTTCAGTATTAACTCCAAAGTCCACATTCCAAAATCTCATCTGAGACAAGATAAGTCCCTTCTACCTATGAGCCTGTAAAATCAAAAACAAGTTAATTACTTCCAAGATACAATGTGGGTACAGGCATCGGATAAATGCTCCCATTCAAAATGGAAGAAATTGGCCAAAACAAAGGGCCTACCGGTCCCATGCAAGTCTGAAACCCAGTAGGACAGTCATTAAATCTTAAGCCCCGGATCACTTACTTGTAGTTTCTTCCCTTCCATTTCCTCTGCTGTTTCTGTAACTCCTCTTAGCTGGATACTGGACATTTTGGATTAATTCCCTAATTTTCATGGTCCTGATTAGTGTAAATCAGTTATGATAATCCTGTCCCTCTTGCTAGTGATTGGTTTAGGAACCTAGGCTTAAGCCAATCAGAAGTGGACAATTCTAAAGTTATATTAATAAGTTGAGGGATGGACAACGACCAATGGAGACCCCAGTGAGCTCGAATGAAGGATTTTTAGTTTTAGCATGAAGGAGAGGCTGTATCTCTCCTTCCTATTGGATATGAATAAGCATGCATGTAGTGATTACTGCAGACAGCTTTCTTAAAACCACAAAATAAACTAGCTTTAGGATGAATAGGACATTTTAGATGGCAGAGAGAGGGACCAAAGAACCTGTATTGCTCATGAGATTATCTAGTTGCTGAGTCAACTAACCTTGCAGCATGCACTATGTCTGGATGTTCTGTATATGAGATGATACATTATATTTTATTGTTTAAGCCAGCTTGTGGCAGGATTTTCTGTTAACATACAGTCAAAAGCACTCTGAGGAATCAACCCAAATGTCCATCAATGATAGACTGGATACAGAAAATGTGGTACATATACATCATAGAATACTGTGTAGCTATAAAAGAAAGAATGAGATTATGTCCTTTGCAGGGACATGGATGGAGCTGGAAGCGATTATCCTCAGCAAACTAACGCGGGAAGAGAAAACCAAAAACCACAGGTTCTCACTTATAAGTGGGAGCTGAACAATAAGAAAACGTGGACTCAGGGAGGGGAACAACATACACTGGGACCTGTTGTTGGGGGATGGGAGAGGGCATCAGGATAAACAGCTAATGCATGTGGGGCTTAATCTGTGCAGCAAACCACCATGGCACATATTTATTTATGTAACAAACCTGAACGTCCTGCACATGTATCCTGGAACTTAAAATTAAATTAAGTTAAATTTTAAAAAAGCACTCTGATACCAAGACTTACACACTTTCCCTTTAGCTTAATCCTTGTATAAAGAAACTAAATTGATACCGCATGAAACCAAGCATGTATCTCCAGGTTCATGACCTTTTGTCTGGAAAGTTTGAAAAAATAAATGTCTAGCTCCTGAATCCTTTACTCTATAACTTGAATTAATTCTCTCTGATCAGTAACTTTTTTTTTCTGAATCAGGGAGGAATTGGAATGTCAATTTTTATGGAGTAACTATTATGTGCTAGGCATTTTGCCAGAGGCTTTAAAACACAATATCTTATTCTTAACCACTCTGTGCCGATTATAAAGGTGAGGAAACTGAGGATTGAAGAGGTAAAGTAATTTGCTCAAAGTCACTAACTAGGAAGTGGCAGAGCTGGGATTCAAACCAAAGGAGTCTGTGTCAAAGCTGGTGCCCTTAATCAAGGTACTATATTGTCTCTTTCCCTTTCCTTCACTCACGCCGTAAATGCAAGCCTCTCTTTGAGTTTCCTTTTTCTCAGGGAATTATCCCACTGACTATATTGCATCTGAGCTTTGTCTCCTTCAAGCAAACTTCTTAACTGTGCTCTCCTTTCTGCCTTGACATCCAGAATCACTCAGACTCCACAATCTAGTGGGAGAAGGAAGAACATCTAACTGTATTTCTGGCCAATTTAGCTTATTCTGCATATAGTCATGGAGTTTACTAATGTTTGAGTATCTCTCCTCTGTAACTTTCCCAAAATAAAAAAAGGGGTTTGCAAAGTCACACAACTAAAATTTGTTGTTATCACAGAGTGTTTCTTGAGGGGTATATTGGAGTATCTTTCAACCACTGTTTCTAGTGGCTGTCCACTTGGATTGCTCCTGAAGAGCAATTGTTTTCCTAGGCTCAGAAAAAGCTTTTAACAATGTCTTGTGAAACATATTTTTGGTTAAGTAAAGGGACTTTCCTACTGTGTGACTAGAAGACTCCTCCAGTAGTTCTTACAATATGTTCTTCAAAATCGTGCTGAGTGCATCAATAGAATAAAGGATAAAAACCACACAGTCATCTCAAAAGACCCAGAAAAAGTATTTGAAAAAATTCAATACCCTTTTCATGATAAAAACACTCAACAAACTAGGAATAGAACAGAACTTCCTCACTCTGATAAAGGGCATCTGAAAACCCCACAGCTAACATCATCAATTGCGAAAGACTGATAGCTTTCCTAGGATCAGGAAGAAGACATTTCTATTCAACATTGTACTGAAGGTTCTAGTTAGGACAATTAGGCAAGAAAATGAAATAAAAGACACCTAGATTGGAAAAAATAAGCAAAATTATCTTTATTTACAGGTGGCATGCTCTTGTATATAGAAAATTCTAAGGCATCCACAAAAAGGTCTATTAGAGCTCATAGTTCAGCAATGTATCATACAAGATTAATATACAAAATCAACTGTATTTCTATACACTAGCAATAAAT